TATATGTATATAGACATATTTGTATATGTCTCTCTATATGTTTCCTATTAACTTTCCTATTAATCCTTTTGACTGATCTGGATCAAATTTTGCAATTACTCTTAAAAATCCTGCGGAAAATATAGGCTATCGTGAAATCTAGACACCCATCCTGATTTCAGCCCTTTAATCCTTTTTGATAGCCAGGATAATACCGGGTAGTTTAAATTAGTACAGAATATCGACCGAATATTATTTTTAAATGGACTAACAAATTTTTGTATTTTCATTTTTTTATTTTTTTAGATTTCTGCATAATATGACTTAATAATACATATTAAGTTTAATTCATCAGATAATAATTTCATCTCACGAATACTGAATTGTTTATTTCATTTTGTAGTCAATGGCTAATTATTATATATTGCGAAATTACCTAAGTTAAATATAAATTCTGTTATTTATTTATTCTTTGATTGTAGTTTTACCAGATTAGGTTATAAAGAAATTATATGATTAACTACTGCTGTGATACGATATATATCTGTTGCGCTTGGTTACGCAATTTAAACAAATAACCGATAACGCATTGATGGTGCTGGTATGGTCAAAGATAAAAGAATTTTTTAACTCAATAGACAGAACATGGCCGATATCTACCTTTTTTTGCGTTGTTCTCGATAGAGCGATAAGGCAATCCTTAATCACTGGGATTACGGATATCTTTCACCCAAATGACACAGATACACTACGGGAAACCCGTCTTTATTTTTCAGAGATTAACTATTAAAATCATTCCTTCTGAGTTCCTCTAAAGCCATATCTCTTCTTCTATAACAGTAGGTAACGAATGTGTAGTTATTTCGAATCTGCATTGTAGGGAAAATTTTTATTTGGAGCATTCGCCCTTGAGTGTGCGTAACAAAGTGGCGTCTTCGAAATCTCTCCTGACGCATCTATCACGGTGCGATGAGCGAGTCGTATACTGTTTTTATCCAATTAGGATAAAGTAGCCGTCAGTTAATGTGGCGTATCTCAAGGGGCGTCATAACCCATTACCGAGGCACCTGGTTGAGTGACCTTTCGATCGATGTAGCTGGACAGATGCGAAACTGCATCCAAGGCGACGTTGGCTCAGGTCCAGATACTTCGAAAGTCTTGTACGTGCTGATAATGCTGCGGGGGCATGCTTTCTTTTACGATGCAAAGTTAAACGGCACGCTTTTAAGTGGCCGCGTAGTGTTCTGAATAATTTAGCGTTAATTTAGATCTTTAAATCTCTCGTCTTGCTACGCAACTCTAAAGTCTTCACGTCATCTTTAAACGCATTACAGCGATATAAAGCTCCGTAAGCTAGAAACGTAAAATCAGCGTTACAGCATCACGTCAGCTTTAATTAGTAAGAAGTTGTATTTCAACGTGTGTGCGCGATATTCATATATTCGACATCCAATTTTCGAATTTTCCACGGAAGGCGCGGCGTTTATTGGAAAACTCGTTTCGCAGATTGCACATTGCGGACATATATGACATGTGATATAAATGAAAATATCTCCAAAAATTTTCCTCCATGTAGCGAGGTGCAGTTGTACATGGTATTCTGTCGGGAATTTTATCATGTCGTGGCTCCCGCAACGTCGTCCTATCAGAGATGACGAGATGCAAGATGTATTGCGCGCATGTGTGTTTGTGTGTTCACTGATATTTGAAAATATAAAATTCTACACGTATTCCCATCTTCCGTGATATCCGCGTGGAAGTAGAAAATAATGCCTCTTCATTCATAATAATATGCAAATCAAAGTACGGAATTACGATTTATGAAGAGTGGCCATCACGCCACGTAGGAAAGTGAAAGATTTTTGTGTCGCGGCCAAGTTTTATAAAGAACCGAATACTCGAACTTGGAGTAGACGGAAGTTCGCCAGCTCTTGGCATTTGTACACTTCATTCCAGCGAACAGCTTCGCGATGTCCCCGCCGGATTCGGTTGTCCTAGGGAGGCGCCATCCTTCTTTATCACGAAATCTTGACAGACAGCCGCGAGAACGACGCCTGGATTCCAAGGTAGGGGTCGATCGATCCTCCCCCACCTAATGGAATGCAGTCTGGCTTATACCAGTTAAAATCGAACTGCCGAGCGACAGGAAAATAATTACTTTGCTTGGCACGAAAAGCTTCTTTGTGCGGACATTAAGATCTGTTAATTTCCACAAAACAGAATACGATACCGTATTGAGTTGATCGCTGCATACTTAACATTCCTGGTTTCCTGTCGTATGCAAAAGATGGGCTTGAAACTTCCACGATCCTTGGTCAGCGGAATTTTGACTTGGAAGTTTCGCTCTTTATCGCAGTATCCAGCAACCGTGGTGGCGAGGTAGGAGTCGATCGATCCTACCGAGCAAGAAGCGATATTGAGAACCACTGTTCCAGGACTTCACCTGCGTCCGACGACCCCACATCCGGAGTTTCTCATCGATCATGCAGGTAGCGAAACAGTCCAATCCACGTGTGCGATCCTGCGCTCGGTTAGTCGACAAACATAGTCCTGAAACTACACAGAATCCTGAAACTACTCCAATTCATCAATGCAGCTTCATAGGCTGGTGATTAAAGCCTCTCTAAAAATAACACGCGTCTAATCATGAGCTGTAATTATATCTGTGCTATTTCTATCGAAGTGGACTGTGTGGTTTTTGTGATTGCGAATCATGATTACACGTAAAGATTGATTCCAGATAATCTCTTGTGTATGTTTTATTGAGAAATATAATTTTAATAGAGAATCAGTTTGAATAAAGGACGTAAATCTTAATCTGACGAATGTTGAGGGAAGGTTCTGGTTTAGTGGCCGGAAAGTAAATTTTTAGGATTTTTTCTCAAAGAAATGAATAAAGATATCGATATAAGGTTTCAATCATACATTATTTATCATTGGTTTAAGTTTAAAAATTTATTGTTTAAAAATTGAAATTCCGTTCAGATTTTCTTTTTGTGCTGAATGTAGCCGGATAGCGTTACGATAAAAATGTTTTTTAATAAAGTAATTATTCTTTTATACTTAAAACAATGACAACTAATATAATAGAGACCTTATATTGATATTATTATTTGTTTCTTTGAAAAAATTCGTAAAGCATATTTTTCGGCTATCTAAATTCCCCTTTGAAATAATGTATCTTTCGATATAATTCCGTATTTTTCACAGAGAGAACGTCAAAGTGCCTGGACTATTTTCATTAATTATAGAAAGAGAGTAATCGTTGTGTACATAAGTCGGAACGTATGCAAGTCACATCCGTACGTAACGCATTTAGGAGAATTAAAGACGGCGTAAATCCGGGCAAACAAACTTGCGGAAACTTCTTGCACCGTAATTCTTAACAATTATACGTTTTACTCGAGGGAGTAGGAAGGCGTGTGCGAAAGTTGCAGTGCAGAAGCTTACCGCAGGAAATATGAGAAATTATAAAACTGCTTTTATCGGAATTGCAGATAATTGCACGTTTTACCTGATAATCACTTGAAATGCAGGCGTTTATATTCCTTATTTTGATTGCTGATCTCTGTAAGTTTTTCTTTCTCATATTGCGATGTTGTTTGTTTTTCGATCTCGTGTTCATAAAAGTATGCGACGTCTGTGGCGCCGAATAACGTAGCGCAGACGGAAGACGGGGATTTTCGATATCGCTTTCACGACGTCGTAAAAGCAAGGGCTATTGACGCGACGTGTCGTCCCTCCGCAAACTACTCCCCTATTCAATTCGGATTTGATACCTCGCGAATCTTTTAGCGATGCGTTCGTTAAATTCTTACTTCTTCCTTCGCGAGATAGATAGATAGATAGATAGATAGATAGAGAGAGAGAGAGAGAGAGAGAGAGAGAGAGAGAGAGAGAGAGAGAGAGAGAGAGAG